CCCCCATCGGCGACGAACCGCCACGAAACGAAGGTCAAGCGAGGCATGCGCGAGAATCGTCTGCCAAATGTCAAAAGTATCGTCCAATGGGTTTCCCAATTGCGAAGTACTTGCAGTCGAGCTTTGGGAGCACTTTTAGTTTTGGCGCGAGAATGAGAAACGGTCGTGGGCTGTGCAGCCCTTGCGGGCGACAGGGAGAGAAAGAAGGGCGCGCGTGCCCGCAGTGTCAAGTGAGTCAGCGCCGCGCCCTAATTTTTTCGGACGATCCTCTCAATCAACACAGCGAAGCTGGTTGCAGTACAGCGAGCATTGATTGGCAACTAACTCCTTTAGCAACCACATCCGTCCTCGACTCTCGGGGGGTCGCGCATGATTGACCTGTCGTTGACGCGGAATCATCGTGGAAAGTACACTGGCGCTTGCTAGCCTATCGCTTGTCCTCATATCCTGTACCGTTACGCCGCGCCACTCAGCTCAGAAAACTAGCACCCCACTTTCAGATCAAACGCTTGCCCTTGTCCCCATCCACGAACACCCCGCCACCTTCAACCTCGTCAAGCCGCTATCGGCGTTGAGCTTGTGCGACTTCTCAGTGACTGTTACTGCTCATTACATCTCCAGTCGCAGCAAAAAAAATGGACGCTACGGAACAGCAGCAGCGCCTCCGCGTATTCAATGCCGATCAAGTATCCAAGCACGATCGACTGGAGGATGTGTGGGTAGTGCACAAAGGCAAGGTGTACGACGTCACCGACTTTGTGTTGGACCACCCTGGTGGCGACGACCTGGTCATGCGCTACGCCGGAAAGGACATGGGTGACATAATGGACGATATCGTCGAGCACGTGCACTCGGACAGCGCATATGAGCTGCTCGAGGAGCACCTCATCGGCAAGATCGCCACGACGGATGAGGAGAAGGCCATGGCCGCTTCAGCCGCCGAGGGCGGTGCCGCTTTTAGCGGAAAACCCCAGGAGATTGTCATCACCGAAGACTTCAAGCCGACCGACACGGACCTTTCGAGCGACTTTAAGAAAACCCAGTTCCTCGACCTTAGCCGGCCGCTGATCATGCAGGTATGGAACGCCAAGTTCTCCAAGGAATTTTACCTCGAGCAGGTCCACTCGCCACGCCACCTCAAGGAACCCGCGCGCCTCTTGGGGCCGTGGTATCTCGAGATCTTCACGCGCACGTCGTGGTATGTGCCAGCGATGGTTTGGTTGCCGATCTCCGCGGCGCTCTTCTCGCGCTCGCTCCAGCAGTTCTCCCACCTCACCGTCCCCGCCAACGGCTTCGACTTCCGGGCTGTTGCAGAGGCAGCGCATCGCAATGCCGACAAGATCACCATACAGGCCACGTCCCAGACACTCAGCTGCTTCATACTAGGCATCTTCATCTGGACCCTCCTCGAATACAGCTTGCATAGGTTCTTGTTCCACATCGATGACCTCCTCCCGGACAGGCCGTTCTTCCTCATGCTCCACTTCCTACTCCATGGTATTCACCACTACCTTCCCATGGACCGGTGAGTGCCAGTATGTGAGGCGATCGGGACAGACGCGACAAGCTGACTGAGTGCACCTCTAATATGATTTTGGCGCAGTCTCCGCCTCGTCATGCCGCCGCTCCTCTTCTTTGTCCTACAAGTGCCGTTCACCAAGCTAGGGCACATCATATTCCCCGCAAGCATAGCCAACGGCATCATCTCTGGTGCGTTTGCCATGTACGTCGTCTATGACACCATGCACTACGCCCTGCATCACACTAAGCTGCCAGCGCATCTGCGCAAGATGAAGAAGTACCATCTCGAGCATCACTGTGAGTTTTTTTGTTCTTTTTTTGCGGGGCAGCGAGGTCTTGTGCCACCACAGGAAAACAAAGAGTTAGACACTGACTTGAACAACCCGCCAATTATTTGACGCACACAGACAAGAACTACGAACTCGGCTTTGGCGTTACGAGCAGAATGTGGGATTACGTCTTCCGGACAGAGCTGTAACGCATTGGCATCTACAGACTCCTTCGCCATGCCATGCCATGCATCGCTGCATCCAATGCATATAGATGGTTGACTTTGTGCTCTCACACCCGGCGTCATCCGTTTCTCATTTCTATTCGCGTTTCGGGCTATGTTCATTGTGTTCAATGTAATGAATGGATTTTAAGGACTTCGCGGCGGCAGCAAAGCGCATTGCCATTTCTGGGCCGGCATTGCTATATACAAGCAAGCGTGCCACTAGCAAGCGATGTCACGTTCCTTCGGACGTGTTTAAGCCACACTCTGCTGCAACTATCTCCTTCGGTGGAATGTTGCCCTTACCACACAGCCACAGTTGCTGAGAACGTGCCCTATCCACCCACCGGGGTACCTCTTTGACCTTGTCCTCGATGCCTGCCAAACGCTTGATGGACGTATCGCTCGCCTGGACAAACACGCGATTGTAGACTCGGCCTGAGACTGTCCGCGCCGCGACGGAGCAATTATGGATGCTCTTCTTGAATAGTTTTCCGTGGCTGGAAACATACGAGGATGAGATGCACCAGGGGATGCGTGATGTTTGTGCATAGAAAGGAGAGAAAGCCACGACGACGGTCAGCCAGGGTAGTCAAGAGATCAGGCGGCATGCGAAGGATGAAGGCAACAAACGTTTTGAACATCCCAAAGAAGGCCTGCGAGTGTTTACCCTGTTGCTGAACATGCAGCAGCGTCACGGGGAAATACCTCTGTACATCGCTGAGCACTTCGTCCATCGCGTTCCTAACGATGGTGCGAATGTCATCATCGCTCGCCGCAGGTACATCAGGCTGTGACGTCGCGCTGTCAGACACACACGATCCGCATGTGAGGAGAAATGTAAGCACCGGAATGATGACTTACACGTGACACGCTCGCGAGGTACTCACAATAGTACACAGATGAAAGACGAGCCACGCTTGCGCGCCATTCTTGATGAGGGTCCAGCTTGCAACTTGGCTTTCTGAGTTTCTTGCTTCCAAAGCACGAGATCTTGCCCGCGCAGGGGTTTACCATTGTCGTGATACGGCAGCCTGGGCAATTTCCCTGCCTGTCGTGCTCGCTGAACTTCTTGCTGCCAATGCACGAGGGCTTGTCCTTGCAAGGCTTTACCATCGCCGTGGTGCGGCGACCTCGACAAATTCCCTGCGTTCGGTGTGTATGTTTGACTATCAGTCATGACTGAGGAAACGGGAGGCCCCACTTTGGGACTCACCTTGCGGAGCCTGAACGATTGCAGTTGGCGCTAGGATTCTCCTACCCGGCAGCATGACCTTATCCATCGCCACTTCGTGCAGCCACTTACTTTGCTGTTGAGCTCGCACGAGTGGCTCAGCCATGATCACACTCTCTTCGCATTGCTGCTGCCGCTGCTGTGGGCCATCTTGCCCGTTGTCGCGCGTCCCCTTCCACCGCCTGTCTCCGGGTTTACCGGTATCCTTCTTCTGCTCATTTTGCTGCTCGTCCACCTCCGTTCGCGTTTCATCATCTCTTTCATTCTGCTTCTCCTCATCTTTCTTTCTGTCTTTGTCTTTATCCTTGTCTCGCTCAGCGTCTCCGTCAGCTTGATATAACAGTTCCATAGCTGGTCTGTACCTGTCCATCTTCCACAGGTCTGAGATGGGAAGTGATATTAGGTCGAACGCCATCGCTACCGTCGGGCCTAAACTGCCAGCACTCTGGTCTGAATCGCCGCCAAGACGGGCGAGCTTGGGGTAGCGCTGCGAAAAGTGCGTCAAAAAGCAATGCTCGGCATTGGCGTTTTTCGCGAGTTGGATGGCTTGCCCAAAAGTGCTGTGACCTTTCGCTGCTGCCATTTCTTCTTGGCCATCTTCGAGCGTTGCCTCATGGATGAGGACCGTGACACCTTTCGAAGCGTTTTCCATGGCTTTGCAGGGCATCGTGTCGCCTGAGTAGGATACGGACCAACCGTCTCGATGCTTTAGAATGATCCCGTAGCATTGTGGGGTGCGGTGTGTGACGAGTATGGTGTTTAACTGTGTCAGATTCATTTGCTTCATCAGGTCTGCCACAGCCTTCCGTGAGTCCGACCCTTGCGGAGAGCTTCGATGGGTCATATCCTCGGAGTCAATGTTGATCATGGAGCTCCAGATTGGCCGCACATGTCTTGAGCGGAAGCCCAAGTTTTCGAAGGAATCGTGCTCCGCCAGTGCAGTCCGATTGTGTCGATTCACAATGATAAATATCTCTTCCCTTGGCGGCGGCCAAAGCTGCGAATGCGAAAGAAATCTGTAAGCCATCTCAGAGTAACTTAGAGAAAGAGTCATCCAGAATTCACCCTCTCCCGTGCGTTTAACAGTCTCGTGAGGCCAAGGTGGTGATCGGCATGGATGTGGCTGATGAAGATCACCTTCAAATCTCGAAGAACATTGTCGATCTTGTCCCCAAAGTGGCGACAAAGCTGGCCGTATGTGCTCTCGCCAGCGTCCAAGAGAATGTTGCCACAATCAGGTGCGCTGATGAGCGTGCCGCTGACATTGCGGTACTTGCTGGGAGTGGCACTGCCCGTCCCAAGCGGCGTGATGATGACCTTGTCGAGAATCGAGCCTGCAGCAGCTGGTTGCCTGGTAGCTGCCTCCCTTTGCACCTCCGATCTCGTCCGGGCTGCCATTTCCAGGTACTTTGGCCATACTTGGGCTCGAGCTCGCTCAAGCCTTTGACGAACAGTTTCTCGATCAGCTAGTGAGGGCGTCGCTCCAGTCGCAGAGACATCCGCCTCCATTGAGACGCCCGTATTCGCGAGCGAATCGCGATCCATGTCCACCTCGAGGTTTTCCGCGCTAGATGCCAGCCAGTCTCTCGCCTGTAGATTATCATGTTCAAAATCGAACCGGGGAATCGAGATATCGCGAGTCGCATCGCTGCAGTCATGCGGGATGTATGGCGCGAACCGGATACGCAGATCTCCGTCCAGCGCTCGGGAGTGTTCCGGTAGCACACCGTCGCCGAGGCTTTGCAACGACCTCTTGGGTTGTAAGCTGTATTTGGGCAGCCGGAAGATGCTGTCGTCGATCTTGCTTAATCGAAGCTGAGCGAGTGCGGCAGATGGGTAATTGAGGGTGTTGGGACAAAAGTCTGGAGAAGAGATGATGTGATCCGTCTCAGGAGGGAACGATTTCATCCATGTTTGGTACCTTTCGTCTGCTAGAACCTCCGCTGTCACGCAGTGCAGAATGACGTTTGCCGGTCCTTGCAGTTCAGAAGTATCAGTACTTGACGCCTGCTTGTATCGATCGAATGCTCTGCTTCCAAGAAGCGACGGAAGGTAGGAGACCGAAGGAAGATAGGTTTGTATGAACACCTGCAGAGTCGAAGAAGATAGTCAGCAAAAGATGGCATTTATCCCACCTGAATCTGACCTCACCGATCCAGGCTGTGAAGGCTCAAGAACCATGTCAGGCGTGACTGTAAACTCAACGACCTTCATTTCGGTAAGTGGCGTTTGTTGCTCTCCTTTCATGTCCGTTTCCTTTTTCTTGTTGTTCTGCTTCTTGCCCTTTCCCACCTGCGCAGCCTTCCTCTGCGCATCGAGCCAAGCTTTGCGTCCGGTGACATCCATTATCTCCCATGCTTCAGGGCGCTTGAGCTCGATCGAACGCCCCGCTGCCAAGACACCCAGCGCGGGACCAGCCGGTACCCCGATCGCGGCCGCCTTAGCGGCGTCCATGTTGCCGCGCCTAGCTGGCGTTTCGACAATGTACGTCAGCGTGACGGGGGGTAAGGCGCTGTCCACTGCCTCCGCTCGGTTCCGGGGGAACCTCGGTGCATGGCGAGTGCTGAGTGGAGCTGGTGGCAACCTGTGGCGAAGCCATGCTGGCGTGGTCCCCATGGGAACAGGCTCCTGGAGCGCCTGCTTGCCATCAGTCAGTTTCTCCTCGTTTGCTCGCGGTGGACTCTGGGCAGTTGGCTGAGCTTCAAGTCTGGGTTCTTCTGGCTCGAAAGCTTTTGCGCCAGGCCTGTACTTGTACATGTCCGCAATGATTGCATCAACGAGGCGCGCGGCATCCGGCTTTCGGAGCTTCCCCGCGTACCATGCCGGAACGGTATCCCATGGCGCCGGATCTACGCTCGGGTCATACGTTGTGCTAGAGTCTTCATGCTGTTGCAATGAACCATCTAGCAACTTCAATTTGGGGAAATGCGTTCCAGACCTGGGCTCTGGTTGCTCGTCTGTACTGTCGTTCGATAGCTTCGCTCGCTTCGCGGGATGAGGAAGGCTTCCATTATTCCGGTTGACCGCTGCATCGCTATCGGCGAATAGAGGCACCTCAGAGGCTTCTTCCTCTTTTCCGACGCTTGTAAAGTCATAGGCGCTGTTGTGTAATTGCACGCCATAGACTTTCACCAAGCTGTCGGCATGCAGGAGTTGCACGCCATACGGGAGAACGGGCTCAGTTTGCGCGGAGTTAGAGTCGGAGATGCTTGTCAGAGCAGGATGCGACATCGAGCTACTCTGGACGGATGGAGGAACGAAGGAGGCTTCGACGACCTCAAGTGAAATTGTGCTTCTTTTGTTGAACGACCTTCCAGCGGCGATGGCATGCTTGAAGTTGGGTGCGCCGATGAGCTTGACCTTGGTCCGTTTGCCACTTTTGGCCGAGTCCGCGATCCCCATCAAGAACCCATGCAGGCCTCCCATCGCCTCCGCATGTGTCGCAGGAACGAAGATGGCGCCTTGGTTGTTGTTGAAGCCGAGTGTTGGCCCGCGGCGTTGCGACATGGTCCGGGAAGTGCCTTCGGGCACGTTGAAGAAGTAGCTCGCGGAGTCGAACTTGAGCACGACAGGAGGACATAGTGCCCAGCCAGAGTCGGCCGTCGGCCCAGGTAAAATCCGGAGTGCGCCAAGCATGATACGCCTGAAGGTGTCCCGAGGACGGTGATGGTTCTCTGTATTGCCGTCCGTCTCGACACTACTGTCCGTGCGCCGAGAAGCTGGAAGCAGATTCGTTGCCGTTGATACGTCGGGTTGCTCGGAGGGCTTGCCTACGCTTCCGCCTGCTGCTTTCTCTTTTGCAATTGAATAACTTGGTTCTTTCTCTGCACATTTCTTCCCGGCTTTGCCGGTGCGTTGTATAGCAGTCTGGAAGCTGCGCCGCCAGCCATACGGGGTGCTAGGCCTCGCGGTCCGGGCCGGCTGGCACACGCGGTGTGCACAAGCGTGCAGCTGCTGAGCGTACACGCAAGTTGACTGCAGCGACTGCAGAGGCAGCCAGTGGCGGGCTGCAGCTCTGGGCACCAGCGTGGCCGTGGCGAACAAGAGCTGCGACGTAGCTCGTGGCGCGGGTATCGTGAATACTTTGCAACGCCTTGCGCAAGGCGTCCGTTTGAATGGCTGTTTTTCCTCGAAGAAAGACGGTGGTGATCCGACACGAGCTCAGCACGATGTGCACCTATTCTATGTGCTACGATTCCTGCACGCGCGCAGCTTTTTCCAAGTTGTGCAGCGGCTTGACATGCACGTCGTCTTCTGGTTGTTAACCACTTCCACCAGCATCCCGATCCCAGAAAAGAGCGAACATTGCAAACAGGTACGTACATGTTTTGCCCGTCGAGTTCCGAGTTCCGAGTTCTTCTATTTTGCTGGCTCATCCGACGCCACGTCATCATTGACATGTGATTAGATGACAAAACGAAACAGCCAACACGCAACAATAGGATCAACTGGACAAATCGTAATATTATAGCAGTGTACAGTATGAGGATAGAGGAAAACTGTAGCATTGCGGAATGTGGTGTGGTGCGAGGCGACAGCGACGAGCGACCACACGTCGCGCCCACCGGGTGCCCTGACCCATCGGATACGTCGTGGGACGCGCCGGGGCCAAGGCGCGAAGGACGGGAGTTGAAGCGGACGGACACACGGAAGGATGGACGGGTTGTGCCAACTTGGTGTGTGAACTGTGGCATGCGGCAAGGTGTGACTTCGAGCCACGAGCACCGCCGGCTAGCCAACGTCGCACCAAGCCCGCTGTTTGTAGTATCTCACGTTGACACATACATCGATCGAACAGGAACGGCTGGACGCAATGGCCGGGGAGAACGCGATAGTCGTGTTGCGTCGTCGGGCAATCGTGAATCAATGGCGAGAGGGATGGCGGCGGTGGTGGCGCGACTCTTGACTATATCGATGGGTGTTAGGGTGGATAATTCGCAGGGAGGCACTGCCCACGCTCCACTGTATATGTATTTCAGCGGCGCACGCAGTGTTTCGTGTCATGATTCAATCTTTCGCTGCGTGCTCTCCGCTGCCGGCGGCAGGGCCGTAGCCCACGAGTGCGGCCTCATCCCTGAGCGCCTTGCGACCCGCGTCGGTGAGCCTAGGCCTGCCGTCGCCAAAATCGACGTGGAAGAACTGGGGGACAAACGCCTCGCCGCGGCGCTTGCGCTCGGCGGCGGCCTCGCGCTGCGCCTGCTCGATCTCCTGCTTGTGCTTGGTCGCGGCGGAGAACTGCTTGCCGATGATGGCGTCCGTGACAGGCTTCCAGATGCGGCGCGACTCCATCTCCTCGTGCGCATCGAGCGGACGCACTGTCTTGCGCGTCAGCGCCAGCTCGTCGAGGCGGATGAGCAACCGCGATTCCTGAGTGCGCACCCACACGTACACACAAATTCAAAAGAGGCGGAGGAAATGACGACGAGGTCAGCACAGCGTCGCTTGGCTCCTCCGCGGTGGCACCGACGTGAACCCGCTGCCGACTCACCCGCTCGCCCTTGAGCTTGTACGTCACATCGCCCCGCCACTGCCCTTCGAACGTCGCGACGACCTTGTCCTGCGGGACCTGCTTGATCTTGGTGTAGTGCCTCTTCTGCTTGCCGTCGCTGTCGCTGTCGCCATCCTCGGTCTGTTCCTGCTCCTCATCGTCGTGCCCGTCGTCGGGATCGTAGTCGTACTCGTAGATGACGCCTTCGAGTGCGTACTTGGCCTTCATGACCCAGCTCTGTTCCGAAAAAAAATTGCAGAGGGGCGCCAAAGGCGCGATATCACGTGAGCACGACTCTGCGCGCCAAGGGACTTGTGACTGAACACTGGTACTGCTACTGATGCCTCTCACCTCCTCCTTGTACTCGATGATCGTCCGGAGGCGCTTGCGCTTGCCCTTACTCTTGCCCGTGCCGCCAGCGCCGCGGTTGTTGTCGTTGTTGTCGTTGTCATCGTCGTCGTCGTCGTCAGGGCGGGAGCCGCCCCTGCAGGTGATGTATGTGTGGTCGGAAATGGCGACCCAGATGTTTCCGCGGAAGAAGCCGTTGATGCTCGCGGTCGGGTGTGTCAGCTGATACTCCTCACCAGGTGCGCCAGCGCCGCTGGCGGTGTCGGTGAGGCCGATAAAGAGGCCCTTGTTCTGGTCGCCGGGGTATACGCGCACACTGGCGCCGGTGAACTTGGCGCTGAGCTGGTCGACGCCGCGCACGTGCACGCCCGCTTCGGCGCACTCGCAGTAGAACGTCGAGATGGGCGGGTGGTGTGAGACCTGCTCTGTCAGGAACGCGATGCGCCGCTTCTGCGATGGCGCAATGATCGACGTGGCAAACAGCGTCGTCGACGACACGTTTGTTGCGCTGCCGTTCGCAGCCGGCTCCAAATTGGCACTAGTAGCGGCAGCGGCACTACCACCTGCACCGCTGCCGCCGACATTCCGTCCACTGAGGAATTTGCTGAGACCGCGCTTTGTCGGCTGGGACCTGGCGAGCGTGCTCTTCTCTTCCGCCTCTGCACTCGCCGCGGCCTCCTTGATGCTGCCAGGCCGGCTGCTGAGCGACGCCGCTTTGGATGCGCGCCCCCCTTTGCTCGCGAGCGGCAACGGCGACGGTGCGTCAACGCCTGGCTCCAGCGCCTGCACCGGCAGGATGTCGCCCGCGGCGGTCACCGCAGGCGTCTCAGCATTCCAGTGGCAGCGGAAGTGCTCGCCCTGTGTTTCGGATGACAAGGAGAATAACAGAGTTTGTTCGGTCAGTCAGCGCTGCCCGTCTACTGTTTTCCGGCATGGCACCTGTGTGCTGCACCGACGCACCAGGACCGAATTGTACGGCTTGCAAACTTTGCCCTTGACGAACTTGAGCTCCTTGGTGAGCGCAAAGCGGAGGACCATGAGCATGCGATCGAGCGGGTCGTCAAAGTCGGGGATCGATGCGATCATGTCGGCGCGATCAAGGTAGGTCCAGTATTCCAGGTTGGGCTGTTGGCAAAGGGAAAGGTGCAGAGTGTCAGGCGGTGAAGCTTGACAGCTATGCTGAGCAGCTGGAAACGAAGGTACGTACTACCGGTTCGAGCAGGGTGGCGGGGAGGGAGAATCGACTGCGAGCGCAGGCCAAGAAGATGTCAGAAACATGGGGAGCGCACACAAGGTCGCGAATCGAAGGTGCCTTCCATGGTACACAAGTACGAAGGTAGACGACGGTTACTCACATAGCCGCCAGGTCCTTGACGCCGACAACGCGCTTGAGCAGACCGATGAGCACCTTGAGTTTTCCGCTCTCCGAATGGCTTTCCTCTTCACCGCCCGCGCCTGCTGCTCCTTCTGCTGCCAAAGCTTCGCCGTCAGCCGCTTTGGCAACGGCAGCCTCGTGAGCTTCGAGCGAGTCGAGTGTCTGCAGCGGGGCAGCGATGTCCTCGTGCGTGGCGTCAGCGTCTGCACTGGTGGTCGCCGGTGCCGGCGCGGTGGAGCGGGTGGACATAATGACGTGAGGCCACTAGGCCGATGTGTCAAGCGGGCCAGTCGTCTTTTCCCGACGATTGTGTCGGGAGTGGTGGCGCGTGTGCAGCGTCGATGGGAGGCAGGACCTGCGTTTGTCAGCCGCCTGTACGCGCCCTGATGTTCTGTTCTGCCAGCAAAATGTCTACCGACAACGAACGCGGAAGGAGGTTTCCCTGCTGCTCGCTCGCGCGTTGTCGCTGGGTCGAAGAAAAGAAAGAAGCGAAGAGAAGCAGGCTATCCGCGCGTGTGTGCAGGCGAATAAGGAGCTGACGAGAATGGTATGGTGGGCGTTCCGCAGACAAAAGCGTCGTTGGGAGCCTTACAGGGGACACTGAATTTTCTGTATCGGCGCAAAGGGGTGGGGGTATGTTGTTGCTGCTCCCTGTGCGACGTCAAGCAGCGTGTGTGCCGGGGGTCTATGGACGAGATGCGATGGCGACGTGGTGATGGTCTGACGACCACTAGATCTTTGTATGATGCGATGCTGCTGGTGTAACAGTCAGTCTGTGTGATATGAGGGAGAGAGAGAACGTGCGTTCGCCCCTAGAGAGATAGACAGAGGAGACGGAGACGGACACTTGAAACATACTGAGACTGCGGACTGGTGGCTCGAGCGCAGCGGCTTTGATTCAGGCTGGATTTGTGGGGTGGCGCCGCACGCGCGCGGGACATCGCCAGCCAGCCGCTGCCCCATTATGTAATCAGATCCACACCACAGACTTGCGTGGGAGCTGGGTGTATGTATGTATATATATGTATGTCCATATAGTTGCACCCCTTGTCGCAATCTCCATAGGCACACGCAAGCCAACACTCTGCTGTCCGTTTTCTTGCACCGCCTTGCTCCCTACCTACTTGCCGTCTTGAACGCGTCTGTGATGTCGAGAGTCGGTCGGACAAGAGTTGGTTAAATGTCTGATCCCCCTTTTGGGCCTTTCCTTAGTTTAACCCACCTTGCCTTGCCTGGGCTTGTTCGGCAATTGCCTTTCTCCGCCCAATCTTCAGGTTGGGGAAAAAGGGGTTACATTCGATGCGAGACGAATAGGCTTCTCGAGGGGACGCTCTATCGGCACTCCGCAAACTTGGCTACGGATGAGATTCGGCAGACTTATGGGAATTAGTGCTTCGTTGATGGGTCGTTAGTTTAGGGGCATAATGCCATTTTAGGGCATGTCGAGATTCGTCTCACAGCTTAGATGATGGAGGTCGTGGGTTCGAGTCCCACACGACCCCATTTTTTTTGCCCCTGCTCCCCATGCAAGTTACGCCCAGTATGAGATGAATGCTGTCAGTTAGTATCAGCATCCGTCTGCACCATTGGTCGAAAAGAATGCGAATCTGCCTCTCTTGACTGAGCTGACGATGGCTTTTGGAAAAGATTGGGTTACACTGTTCTGCCGTTGGGAGCGCAACGCGTGCAGTCAGTGGTCATCCATTATTGATCGTCCGCAAGCACCTGCACAACATCACTTTCGGCGAATCAAATACGAATGTGAGACCTCTCTTCAGAAGGTACAGCTGTACATGTACCGTAGATCCATCAAAGTATACATGAGTCATGCATCCTCTTCTTCCTGCTCCGCTTCAAGGCTTGCTCCCTTGAAGATACAGCGCCTGTGGCCCGGATGGACGCTGCTGATGCGCCCGTGTCGGGGGGTGCTTGGTCTGACGTGAGTGCAGAGCAACGCCTGCATCGCCAGCAAACCCGCCCGGCCCTGTCTCCTAACGACCACCCCCACACCCGCAGGAGCTCTCCGACGCATTGCTCGCTTCTGGCGTGCCGTTCACTACGCTTCCGCGCGGCGGGGCTGGCGGCGGCGCAGAGCAGGAAGCGACGTCGCCGGGTCTCTTGCTCGTGAGTACTCGCTCGCACTCTTCACACCAAACGCCGCGCCGCTCGCTCATACTTATACTGGCCACTCCCGACGAATGAGCTGCACAGAAACTCTATCTCCCATCGGCCTCCGCCTGGCGGCTATTCCCCGATGCTACGCCGCCCCCGCAAGCGACCGCATGCGACAGCGGCGTGCACAGCGCCACCGCCGCTGCGTACATCGGCGTCCTCCTGATCGACACGCAGCGCCTGCACGTCTACTACGCTGCGCTGCGTTTCGAGGAGCTCGCGCGCAGGCTGATCGTGACATACGCCAGGCACGCTGTGCGTGCGCTCGAGCAGGCAGCCCACGCCGCAGCTGCAGGCGTAGAGGGTGCTACTGCTGCTGGCACGGCGGCTCCGGCTGCTTGGCGGCATCGTCTCCTCGCCGCAAGGGCAGCGCGCGCACTTTACCGCCTCCATCACTACCCGCACCCCTGCTCCCGGCACTCATCCCCCCCGTCGTCGGCGTCATCGCCACCGTCGCCCATACGCCCAGGCGCTCGCCCGAGTACATCAACGCAAGCAGAGGCAGAGGCAGCCCTCCAATTGGAAAAAGGAGAAGAAGAAGAGGATCGCGCGCGACTGGCAGCACATGCGCGCATTGAGCTACTACGCACCCTCCTCGGGTACCGCTGCTCGCTACGCACCGGCGACACCGTCGAGGTCGAGCACCAACTCAGCGAGACAGACGCGGACATCTCCATCGGCCTGCATCCCGCTCCTCTTCTTACATCAGGCACAACTGCAAGAACACACACAAGCAGCACTGCCGACGGCGAAGCCGAAGCGGACCCAGACGCACGGCTGCTGCTCGCGGGCATCGCGTCAGTCCGCATCTCGCTGTCGTTCGACGCGCTCCTCTCGCGCGCGCACGCAGCAGACGTCCTCAGCCGCCACCTGCTCTTACCGCTCATCGCAACCGCGAGCGCTCTCGCTTCTGCTTCTACATCTGCGTCGGGTATACGTGCGGCTTTACAGGGGGCAAGCGGCAGCAGCGCCGACGAGCACCAGCGTCATCGCCATCTGCACGTACAGAGCATGCACGACGCGCTCGACACCACTGCGCGCGTATTGTGCGACACGTCGGCGTCCGGCTTGCTGCTGCATGTGCACCTGCAGCAGCAGAGGAGCTCGCAGGCCCCGCTCACTGTACCGCCAGTATCGCTCTGGCGCGCTGTTGCTCGCTGCTCGCAACCACCTGCTGCGGCTTCTGCTGGTGCGGATGCAGACACGAATGCGCTGCTTCGCGCGCAGCCGCCAAGCAGCGGACTCGTGTCCGCGTTCGAAGACGAGCACGAGCAGTACCAGCAACAGAGGCTCGCGGGAGAGGGAGAAAATTACAGCGCGCCAGCCGCGAACGACGCAGCAGCACCCACACGGAAATATCTAGGCCCTGCACGGCTCCCTGACGACAAGCCATCGTCGGGGGCGCCAGGAGCAGCAACGACGCCAGCCGTGCATGCAGAGACGCAGGTTCAACGGCCATTTTTATCGCTTTCACCGCCAGCACTACCCAAACAGGACGACGGAAGCGACACGGAGGATGAGGAAGACGACGACAAGTACAAGCCTACACTCAGCTCATCAGCGCACCATTCACTCGCGAGCGCAGGGACGCCCTATTCCTCGCAGCCCGCATCTACGTCAATGCCTCTTCCAGGCATAGCAGCAGCCAGCGCGCGCGTAACTGCAGCACCTGCGTCCGCGAGCCAGGCACCGAAACGACCGCTGGCTGCACCCGGCACCACAGCGGCAGAGGCACACAAGCGTGCCGAGCTGGACGCGTTGCGTGAGCGTGCGCGCGTGGCAAAGCGGCCGCGCGTTGCGCCCACCCCCGGTAGCCACGCCGGCGTCACGGACCGCCGCGTGCATTCTTGCAGCGACGACGACGAGGAGAATGGTGTTAATGTCGAAGACAATGGAGGAGCAGTAACGGCAGCGGCAGCGCATCCCCAGGCGGGCAGAGCCGAGAACCGCCTCCCGATACCGCCTCCCCCGCCTTCGTCCGCTACGCCGCCCAACAGCTCGGGCGTCACACCATCGACGGCGGACTCATCAGTCTCATCGTCTTCTTCGACGAAGAAAACGCTCACGAAGACTAGCGGCAGGGCGGCTCGGATGCGCTTTTGATGCGTCTCGCGCTCGTACCCCCGCTCCAGCCTACAGTTCCCCCCTTGCTGCTTCAGGCAATTTGGTCATTTGCACCCTTACTACGTTTGTGCTCGCTCACACCTCGCAACATATCTAACTATGCCACGTGTACCCCACGCACTAATAACGGTATCGCACTGCATTGCCTTTCATGACATGTCGGTCCAATGGCCACCTGCTGCCACCCGTATTGCATCGTACCGGATCGGATCGTGTAATTTGTTGCTTGAGCTACAACCCAAGTGCTTTCCGCTCGCTCACTCGCTCCCCTTTCCTCGCTACCTTGCCCGCCTCCTTGCTTCGGCAGATCTGCGCGCGCGCGCTCTCTCTCTCTCTCTGTGCCTGCCTTCCTTGTATGCATTTACGTCCCCAAGAAACAGCCACGATCTTGCGCTACGTTCTGCACTACGCTGCTCCTACCCCTTGCAAGCTGGGCGCGCTCACGTAGCCTTCTTGCGCTCGTCCATCGAGTAGCCTCCGGGACCCATGTTGACGAGTAGAAGCAACCCGCCGACGATGGAGAGCGTCTGGAAAAAGTCGTACCGCAAAAAGTCGCGCGAGGGATGCATTGCGTGGACCGACCAGAAGTTGTTGACGAAGAGCTACAGGGGAAGAAAGATGAGGGAGGAATACAGTCAGCCCAGCTGCCGCTAGAGGCTGAATACACGACTGCGGAACTCACATTGAAGATAGACAGCAGGAGAACGAGGAAGGAGGCGCTCCACCTCGCCTTGAAGCCGACAGCGACCATGATACACGCGCCAAGGCCGAGGATGGCGACAATGATGCGGAGGATGCTCCAATGACCATGGAGGATGAAGCCGATGAAGAGGAAGATAAGCAAGACTCTTCCAGCGAGCTGGAAGTAGATCTTGCGGTCCGTCTCGCTGATGGACGGCAGGCCAGCGAAGATGTTGCGCTTCTTGCTCAGCGAGTCGGACAGGACCATCAGCAGGCCGCCGATAACGGAGAGGTTGCGCAGGAAGAAGTTCAGGTCAAAAATCAGGCCGTAGCCGAAGCCCTGGACGACGACGACACCGAATAAGGCACCGATGCTGATCTCGGGGTATTTGCGCGCGATGACGCAGAACGACGCGGCAAGCATGACCTGCAAGAAAAATGCGTGAGTCCTGGGGTTGGCTTAGGCTGAAGCGACAGCATCCTCGGCGGCGCGACTCACGATGACGTTGGAAAGGAGGAAGAGATGTGAAATGCCCCAGGGAAAGTGCCTGTGCTTCTGCAGATAGAACTTCTGGTCGCTCCACTGGGTCATGATCCTCAGCGCATCCTCGAGGAAGGTGACGACGATGAGGAAGCGTCCAAGCGCGGGGAGGTAGGGCTTGATAGGGTGTGTGTACATGTCAATGTAGTCCTCCACCTTGGAGGTGATCGCACGCAGCTGCTCCAGCGGCGAATCTGGGTTGCTGCTGCCGCTGCCGCCTCGACCTACGCCACCCGACGACGGGCCACCGCCGCTGCCGAATGCTGACGGCCGCGAGCCGAGGCCCTGGCTTGCGTATGGAGATTGGGCATAGGACATGTTGTGCGCTGCTGAGCTGAACTGGACTCTGTTATATGTTGCCTTGTGTGCTCGCAGAGCGATGTCGAGGTGCGCTGGATTTTTTGCACGAGGCCGGGACGAATGAAGGAGACACGCGTACGACAGACACGTTCTCGCAGAGATGATGGACAGCTGTTGGTAGTGGTAATGGTGAGGGTAAGAAGGATGACGAGCAGACCTGGACGATGGAGACAAGCGCTCTTATTAAGAGTAGATTCCACAGGGGATCTAATGCGAAGAAGAAGATTAGCCAGGCACTGCAGCAGTGTGCAAACACGAGCGCGCGCGCGCGGCCGCACACCGCCCCACTATGATTCCCGCCGACACTGCCGTGGTGCCACCTAGCAACCCGGTGTGCTGCAGTGCCCCGCATTAGCAACATCTATTCCTCGGAGCCTCCGAGTTGTCAAATCCTAGTACAGATGACGACACAGGGGTTACTTGGGCAAAGCAAGTTGCGACCCAAGTAAGACACGGTGCAAGGATCAATGGAGCAATGGTGATAGAGTATGCAGGGAATGTATCACAAAATACAGGTGCGGGCAGACAATACATGCATGCGTGCGTGCATGCGCGCAGCCGATCTGCGTTGCTCTGCAAGTGCCATACCGTCGTGTGTGCATGCACAACATGTGACCTAGGCGGAGAGAGTAGCGAGAGTGTAAGAGAGAGAGCGTGTGTGTGTGGGTTGGGGACGAATGAATTTTGGGTAAAGGGGGGAGACAGGGAGAGTGGTTCTTGTTTGCGTGCCTAACAAACACCAGCCGAGGCGGCTGGGGCATGCGTGCTGTTGCTGCCGTTTTGCTAAAGGCGTGTGTTCGACTGCTCCTCCCCCTGCTGCGCTCGCCGCCGCGTGGACGAAAGGTACGCGAGCTCGGCCGCCGAGGAGGAGGACGAAGACGCAGCGCGTTGGCGCTGCTTCTGCTGCCGCTGCTTCGCCAGCGCGGGCCGAATCGTCTTTCGACCATCAGCCAGCATGTACGCAGCGTCGGTATCGTCGTCCATCCGCAGCTCGCGCCGACCAGGTGCAGATGACCAGCGCCGCTGCGAGATATCCGAGTCGCTCGAAGCGAGCGATGACGCATGGGCCTCGCGCGTTGTGAGCCGCGAACGAACATGCGCACGGACAACACGCACATCACTCGCCGCAGTGCGCCCAGCCAAAGCTGTCTTGCCAACGCAGTGCGCCTCGCATGAAGTCGCATCGAGCATCGAGTCGATCTCCTTCGCCAGGTCCGCAAGGTCCGGACCCACCGTCGCAGCAACACCAACATCCTCGCTGCGCAATGCGCGCGCAGTCGCCAGCTTGAGCTGTCGGCGCCTCGCAGCGCGCTGCTCCGCGGCCGGAGCATCCTTATCGTCGACTTTGTCAAACAGCGACGATGCTACTGCAGTAGCGCTTGTCGCCCTGCTCGACTTACTTGCTGCGCGCCGTTGGCGAGAAGCGCCGCTGCTGATGGCGCCGCGCTTCTCCTCCTCCGTTTGTTCAGTTGCAACCTCATCGAAATGGATTGCGGAGCCCTCGGAAGGCGAGCTCGGCATCGGAGCAACGATCGTGCTCCAGCTGTTTAGCGCCGTCGCTGCCGCCGCTCGCGCTTTGGCTGCCCTGACCGAGACGCTCGAGCCCTCCGAGATGGAAGTAACAGGAGAGAAGAGCGTCGTCGCCGTTGTTGAGCTGAGCGAGCGGTCCTTAAGCAGCTGGTCGGCGTTTCGGCGGCCCTTTGCATCTCCGTACAGGAGCGAGGCAGAAGAGGCCGACGACAAAGTTGCCGATGATGACGACCACGACGAGTCGGTAGGCTTGCGCTCGAGCGGCGCCTCCGCATCGCGACTGCGTGCTTGCCACTTGGCAATGTTTGCCTCCAGCTTGAGCCTCGCTTTGGGTGACTCCTGTTCAGCGGCATTCTCCACGGCCAGCAACTCCTGCTGCCGCTTGAGCTGCTCCAGCGAGGACAGCTGCAGGCCCGCGTCGTGCCGCAAAAGCGCGGGCTCGAACATCAGCGCGGGCTCTGGAACCGCGACCTGGTGCACCTCGACCTCGCACAGGTGGCCACCGTTTCCAGGCAGCGTCGGAAGCGGGCCATCATTCGTCCGGAACGCTGAGCCGATTCCTGCCATGCCGGGTGTACACTTGGAAATCGGAGTGTACAGTTGCCACGCAGGGCTATTGTGTTGTTGCTGCTGCCGTGATTCTTGCTCCCATGACCCTGCCAAAGTGCTGCTGAATTCTTCCGTAGTCGTGCTCTCGTCGCACTTGAAGCGCGGATCCTGCTTCGTCAGTCGACGTACGCTCGGCAACTGGCTGTCCCTGCGTCCGAGCGTGATGACGCGCGAATCTGATCGCACCAGGGATTCTGTGTCATCTGCTCCAGAGGGCGTCTGTTCTCTGCGATTCAGCCGAGTTGCTTTGAGAAGAGAGTTGGAGAGCGTCGATAGCATACCCGTGCTCTTTTTCCGTGATGGCACGGTGGCTTGTTCGGCGTGGGGCCCACCAAACGGATCAGTGAAGAGGATCGTTTCGCTCGCTTGGCCGTTTACGATGGGTGCGATGGATGACCATGCGGATGGTTGGTCTAGAGGGAACGCAGAGCGCCGCCGCGTAGCCGCATACACTGATTCGGAACGAGAGTGGCTGTGCTGCAGAGGCAGGCCGCCGGACAGGGAGCGCTTGTGCAGAAGTCGCTCCATGACGCTGGGCCTGCGCGTCGCGGGTGGCCAGATGCCGTGCATGTCACGATCAACGTCCTTTTCCCTCTCTTCCGCAGCTGTACTTGGACCGCGGCGGGTGACGGCAAAGCCTGACGTATCGCCGAGGTGCGGTGCAAGGCCGAGACCTAAGCCTTGGCCCTCCTCATCTTGACTGGGCACGGAGGACTTGCGTCTGGGCACAGGGTTGTCGAACAGCATCCAGCCTCTGCCTGAGAGCACCGGCATGGGCTCCAGGTGGCTGGCTGGCGCCGTATGTTTGCCCCGCCGCGAGTCGCTGAGCCCCGTCAATGCAGGCATCGGGCTGTTGATCGACTGGCCTCCCAGCAGGACCTTCTCGGCCTCCCGGAGCGAAAAGACCGAAGAGCCAGCGCCGGGCGACCAGTTACCGCGCTCGAGGCGCTTGCGCTTGTTGACGCGGTCCTTGGATGAGGACAGCCGGAACATCCACGCGAGCCCCCCGATGAGCGTCGCCGCGACGATGGCAGCGCCGACGGACACGATGAGGATGAACGGGACATTGTGACTTGTCCCACCACCGTTGCCGCCGGCTGCCAAGCCTGTTGTCGTAGGTGCAGACGAAGCTGCGCCGAGCAAAGGTAGTGGAGTCGAAAACGCCGCCAACGATGAATTCGCGCTTGGCATTGGTGCTGACGACACCAACGCGCTTGGCAGCGCCGTGGGCTCCATCGATACTTCTAGTTGTGGAGTAATCGAGGAAGTCGGCGGCGTCGCTGGTGCTGGGTTTGCTGTTGTTGGAGCCGCGCCTGGAACTTGCGGTGGATTTCCTGTTGCGGGTGTTGCCGCTTGGACAGCAGGAGTAGGTTGGGAGGGGGGAGCTGGAGAGGATGGCGCCTGTGCCTGTTGAGGGGATGGCTGAGGCTGAGCTTGCTGGGACTGAGCTTGCTGAGGCTGAGCTGGCGTTTCCGGCTGTTGTCGTCTCAATAATGGCGGTAATGCCGGATCGCTATGCTTCTCCATCATCGCTGACCGCCGCTCCAGGCTCTTGATCATCTTTCCTGTCCGCCAGTACTTCTCCGCGACCTTTCTCCGCAGCTGTATCCTCGCCCTCTTTTCCTTTGACGACCGCTCTGCTGCGGCCAAGAGCTCCCGTCGCGTGCGGATGAGCGACTCGATCGCCTCGTCAAAATCTGCATCACCTGTCCTATCTGTGTCCAGCTCGCCGACACTACCGCGCCGCGCAGGCGGAAGACGGACAGATCTGCTGCTGCCACCAGCACCCGGTCCATCCTGCCGCCAAGCGACATCATCTGCGCCGTTCTCGAGCATCTCCCTAGGGGTTCTGGACGATGACTCGTGTTTGTAGTATTGCCGCGTGTAGATGCTCTCCTCATGTGACTGTGGCGATGTTGCTGAGAGGTATGACGGTTGCTCCTCCTTCCCCTTTCCTTTTGCGCTTCTGCCGCTGCTGCTATCCCTCAGTGACGCTGTACTCAACGCTTCCGATGATGAAGCTGCAGATGCAGCCCGTCGCCGTCTAGGCGGGCGTACGTGAGGGGCTCGAGGCCGTAATGGCTCTTCAATGATGAATCGATCCTCAAGATCAACTCTTTCTTCTTGTCTCCGAGACTTGCTCGTTGACGCTATCTCTCTTTCTTGCTGGCGGTGGTGGTGTGGTCGCGAGTGCATGCCTGCTGGAGGGTATTCTCGTGATGGACCTGCATCGTGACGCAACGGCCGGTCATGCCAGCTGGCCGAATCTCCCTGCATGCCTCATTCAGTGCCAAGTCTTGCTCCTGCCAAGAATGTGACCTGCTGTAAGAATAACTGCCTGGTTGTATTGTCGAGGAAGGCTGTTAGAAGTATGGGAGGGAATAGTGGAGTGAGGGGGGGGGGGTTATGGCCAGGGAGTGGTTGTTCTGAAACGAGATGAAAAGAATGCAAGAGTAGCAATTGCGTAAACAAGTCCCAGCCTGAAGGATTGCCTTATAATGAAGCTGCGTGCTTCCAGGCGTCGCCGTTCCAGTCGTGCGTCCTTCGAGGGGGGAGGGGAGTAGGAAATTGGCTCCAGGCCTATAGACACGGAAGGGAGGGGCACAGGTTAGTCAAACTTCGAACATCTCCCTTGGAAGCAGCTTGGCGAGGCAGAGTCCCCGTCAAGTGAGAGCCGTCTCACCTAACAAGACTAGCAAGACTGCCAGAGCTTGAAGTCCGGTTTGAGAAGGATAGGGAAAGGAAGAGGAATGAGTTAGAAGGGCTACAGGAAGCAAAAGTTGAAGACGGAGTGAAAAGATGAGATGGTGAGCCATCGATGGGACGACGACGATGGTGGTGGTGGCGTTCGCCTCGCAGCCGGGAGGGATTCCCAGAGGACCAGTGTATTGGGACATCTCTGCGCCCTCGATCTGATTTTCGGAGGCAGAGACATTGAGTCGACACGCGATCATACAGCCAGCTGCGGGTCAACGTGCACGCGGAAGCTTGCCGCTTGAACGCCCTGCACTACACTTGGACAGACGCACGAACCATTCTGGCCCTGTGCATATCCAAGCTTCGAATCGCCGGTCACGTCGCCCATTCATTCAACCAAAAAGAACCAAATTCAGCAGTGCTGCAGCAGAACGCGGCTCGCACAAGCTTGCAGGCCAGTGCTTGGGGCTTGGACCCCTTACTCATGACTAGAGCATTCCCGTATTCAACTCCGGATCTGCAGGCACTACATACAGTGATGCCTGCAGATTTATTTGGTGGGTTCCATGCACCGGAACTGCAGTCTCCGTCACCATGTAGTAGTGCACTGGCCATGGGAAGGGGGGGCTGTTGACTGCCCAGTCGCCGCTACATCATGACGAAGACAACGCCGTGCGGCAGGACGCTGAGGTGGGCTCTGCGTCGGTGACGATTGGTCGCTTTGTCCGCTTCGGCAAGGTGGCTCTGGGACCTGTTCCGGGAGCTGGAGGTGCATCTGTGTCATGCACGATGCAGACTGCTGCTGAGCGCCAACGGCTGGATGTGAACGGGGAGCAAGATGGGAAAGAGATGGCAAAGTTGGCTGTTCCATCTACGTTGCACGTGGATGGAGTCATCAGTCGGGAGAGGCGATGGCGAACTGAAAAGTGTTGATCTCAACGGACGTCATGCGACACGCACATACACACTCTCCCTGCAAAAATAACAGAAAACCGTTCTCTGCAGCAGCGGTCAGTCCCACAGCCCACTCCGCACTCCAGGTGTTCGTGCTACACCGGCAAAGTAGGGTTGCAACAACGCTTGTTCGCCTTTGGCACTGTCCACTTTCGAGACTTGGTTGGGCGGGCATTCCCCCTCCGCCCTCTGGTCTTCGCTTCCATTCACTTCGGATGCAAACCAGCCACAAGCCGTCATTTGTCCCTACTCAACACCCGTAACTCGTTCACCCATGGGGTTTGCACCTCCTCGCAATTCGCCGAGTGGCGAGCTGAGTTCGCTACTTGGCTGACGCGGACTGGTAGTGTGACTACCGATCACCCGAGCGAGGGGGAGCGCGTCGGTGATGATGAATAGACGCGATCGAGCATGACCGTCTCGTCTCCGGCAAGCACGAATCGTGCAGCTCTCGGCCCTTCGCCTCGGTAAATTTTGCGGACGAGTTTTTTCACGGAACACGAGGCGGCAGAAAATGAATGGGAAATCCGAGCTCGAGCCAGTCTTGAGCGCGTTCTCTTCGATGTCTGCACCCACTACCGTATGCATGAGGGGGCACACTACCACGCACCACATGCGCAGGCTATGTCTAATAAGCACGCCCTATTCCAGCTCTCCTACATGCTCGGAGAGCATGTCTAGCATGAACAAACCAGACTAGGTCGCGTTTGACTGTGCATCGCTCTTGCGCGGCAGACATGAGATGTGGAGGGTCACACGAGGAGCATTACAGAAGACCCAGTGCGCATGTACTACAGATGCCTTTGGGGGCCTTGGAAGGACCTCGAGGGGATAATAGGATGTGCTTTGACTGCGATCTTGCAAATCATAAGCTAGAGTCTAACATGGAGTCAAGACCGTGACCGCGTATATATATATATCTATCGCTGTGTGTGAGGGACAGAATTGTCAAAAGCGCTTTGCCCTTGGAACCAAGAGGACACTGCTGCAGTGTTGCACACCGCACAAAGTCCACAACAGCGCTTTGCGACCGCAGCTACCTATACCATTACCACACATCACACCATGGTCAGAAGTAGTCGGAAACGCCCGAGAGATAGATGGATAGCACATCGCGAGGCTCAACAGTTGCACATGGGCTCGACGCTCATCGCAGGACTGTGACATTGCCAGCTTCTGACCAGCGTCATGTCGGGCCCCAGTGCGCCGGATCAACGCAAGCTCGCGAGCGGCGGCGCTTCTGCAAATGCATCGCGACGTACTCCGTCGTCGCAAGAAGCCTCCCACACAAGCAGTGTCGCCGCAGCATCGACATTTGCGCATGCCGAAGCATCGGGCGCTACTTTACCGCGCGACGAACGTACAGCACAAGTAGCAAGCTTGTCAACTGGTCGGACGACTGCGTCCGACGCTGCCATTCGCGAAGCAACAGGAGTAAGTGAAGCCATTGGCGACGAAGTGGCGGCCGGCACCGGCACATCCGAGAGCAGTCATGCCACTCGCGTACCCTCGGCAAGTACCACCACGCCTGTTCCTTCAGATGGCCCGGCCATGAACAGCAGTAACAGCACGACGGGAGCGACGACACACACCTGCCCGCCATCCGCAAAGTCGCGCTCGGCTGGTTCGTCACCCTTGCCTCGCACAACGCAACCGCTGCCGAGCAAGCCTGTCGTGCTCGAGTCGGCATTCGACATGCTCGATGCGCAGGTGCAGCAGATCAATAACACCCACGCACACGCACACGGACTTGGGCATGCCCACGCGGGTCCGTCCAACTCCTACAACACCTTAGCGAGCTCTCCCGGCGTCCGACACACGAGCCTACCGAACGGAACGTTGAATGGCGCTGCGCCTGCTGATCCGAGTGGGCACGGGAACGGTCACGGGCTCGAATACACGCATAGTGCAGGTGCAGCGAGCTCGAGTTCGAGCGCCATCGCAGTTGCTGGGGCTGGACCCGGGGGAGCTGCTGCTTCTGCAGGACCCGGAGGCGCTGCGGCCGGGGCAAGCAACTACGCCAACAGCAGCAGGACGCGTGTCAGCACTTCGCACTCGCCTTTCCTCAACTCTTACCAATGGCAGCAAGCGCAGGCGACGCCGCTATACGGCACGGGGCCGCCGCACAAGATCCCTTCTGTAGGGACGATTCCGTACGACAGGCATTGCATGGAGCTCACTGGCTGTGTCATCACCTTCCTCGGTCCCATCCTGCCTACCGAAGAGGAGTATCGCGTCAAAGAGGCCACCCGGCGGCAGCTTGAACGCCTGGCCGGTAGGGTCAGCCCCGGCGCGAAGCTGCTGGCTTTTGGAAGCATGGCGAACGGGTTTGCGTTAAGGAATTCAGGTAGGTACCCGCGCGTCGCTGCGCCATGCGAGTCGCGTTCGCGCCTCGTTACAAAGGCTGTTGGCTGATCCCGACGTCCCTCTCTGTCCTACCACTTGCTTCTTCGCGCGTTGCAGACATGGACCTGTGTTACTTGACGGGGAGTACGCCTGATCCTCAGCCGAGCGCATCAGAGCTGGTCGAGATCTTGGCGCAATTGATCCGAGAAGGTTGGTCTGCGCTCTCCTAATTGCTGGTCTCGCGCGCCGCGCTCACTGAGGGCCATTTCGTTCTCCATAGAAACCGATTTCAACGTGATGCCGCTCCCCAAAGCCAGAATCCCGATCATCAAGATTAGCCGATGTGAGTCGAATGCGGCTGGACCAGTGCGCAAAGCTCTCGAATAAGATCACCGATGCGACCTGTCTGCCCTTGCACTTCGCAACAGCTCCCACTCCGGATCTCCCGTACGAGATCGCGTGCGACATTGGATTTGAGAACAGGCTCGCATTGGAAAACACGAGGCTGTTGCTCAGTTACGCAATGGTCGACCCGCCTCGATTACGAACAATGGTGCTATTCTGTGAGGAGCAAACGCTGTTGTGCTTTTTTTTGTCACCCGAGTGGGACTTGGAGAATTCAACACAGCTAACGAATCGTGCACCCGGCACCCAGTGAAAGTTTGGACAAAGAGAAGAAAGCTCAACTCGCCATATACAGGGACGCTATCGTCTTATGGGTACACGCTCCTGGCTCTTTACTATCTCACCCATGTCAAAAGTAAGGCAGTCCGTCCGCTCCATTTTCCATCGACGCTGCTCCGGCATTTTAGCTGACGTTGTGGATGCGTGCACGACAGAACCGCCTGTGTTGCCCAATCTGCAACGAATATGGCCCAACCGGCCGCTTTCGCCAAACGAGGTGGAGATGAACGGCCACGACATTTACTTTTACGATGACATTGCCACGCTCCGCAACGAATGGACCTCACAGAACACGGAGAACGTCGGCGAGCTGTTGATCGATTTTTTCCGCTACTTTGCCAAAGAGTTCAGCTATTCCCGCGATGTCATCAGCTTGCGCACCGAGAACGGGACGTTTCCCAAAGACGGCATCAACTGGACTGGAGAGGTTCGTGGCCCGCATGCTTCCTGAGCCTACTTGGACGCTGATGCAAGGGAGCATGCTGACTTCTTGCCACTGCAGCTCTGCATTGAAGATCCCTTCCAAGTCGGTTACAACGTTTCACGACCGGTCACAAAAGACGGCCTCTACACAGTAAGCTCTCATCTTAGCCGAGCCTGCTTGTCATTGAGGATCGCGGCTGATGCCTCTCTAACCCCTGTGTAGATCCGCGGCGAGTTCATTCGTGCCAGCAAAATCCTTTCCAACCGAAACCAGCGTGCGTCGACGTTGATCGCCGAGCTCTGCAAAGAACGAGAGGACGGGCTTGCGCGCGCGCCGGAGAATCCACGCCACCCGCATCGCTATCCTGGTGGCTACAGCACCTTTGACTCACCTGTACGGCGCCACTATGCAAACGCAAGTGGGGTGGGAGGATCTTTCGCGTTCGAGGCGATGGCCCGAGGGCTAGGCAGGGGTCAGCAAAATCCATTGGCTTTATTGCCTACCGCAGCAATGCTGGCACCGCTGTCTCACAATGGCGGGCTAACGGGCAAGCCTGCTCGCGGGCCGCGGCGGCGAGGGCAGCAGAACAACATGTCAAGCGCAAAGAGCGATGACGGGATGCAGCATTCAGGTTCCAATACGCTCGTTGTGCCTTACAACAATGGTGGCGCTGGCGGAGGCGTATCACCTGGAGGATACGTCCTGGACCAGGCGATCGACCTGAGCGAAGAAGTGTCGGTAGATTCAGCCACACGCTCTGCGCGTTCCTTTTCGGACACGCTTGCTCGCTCCAAATCATTACCGCGGCAATCGATCCTGACGGTGGCGAATGGCATCCCGCGCCATTCCCAGCCGCCATCCCCGATGACGCGCCCACAGATGCCGACAGCAGCGCCGGGCGTCTCGCCGCCCATGACGGAGATCCTAGCGGCCATAGAGGACATGTCGGTCCAGCAGGGCGAAACACCCGGTCGACATTCTTCCATCAGCGACACCGGTGCGTTGCTACAAGACAGCCCGTACGCGGATGTCAGCACCCGCTCCTCGCCCTATCAGTACCAGACACATTCCCCTTGGACATTCTTGCAGCCTTCCATCGCACCCTATGTTCCTTACACCGGCGGCGGTGCCGCATCTGCATCTGCACGTCCTTCGGCTATGGCCGCTTCTGGCTCATCTTCACAGCAGGGTGTGGGAGGATGGGGCTCACAAGGAACAACGCCATATCTAGTCCAAGAGCCCGAGAGACTCAGCAGCAGCAGCAGCAGCCAGAACAGCAGTCGGAGGCCAAGCCATGGGGACAACGTGGCCTATGCAGATGGGCATTCCCTACCAGTGGGCGAGGGCGAAGGCGCGCCGGTAAAGATATTGCATTCTCCCCTTGCGCTCCACTCGGAGGTAATTGCAGGAAAGACACTGTAGCATAGCGGAAGCAGCGATCGCTAGATCTATCTGAATGCACATCCATCGGCATCCGTGCCTAAGAAGACCGTCGCCGTGTGTATCGTGTATTTCGAGTTAATATCCTCCTTTCGAATAAGAGCTCCGAGCCTTAGTTAATGTTCTGTCTTCGGAGTGCGGTGGTGGCGACGGCGAGAATGATAAATCACGCACCACAAACCAACACCTGAAAGCAAACTCACGAAGGGTTCACTCGCTCTCCTGTAGTGGTCGTGCAGAGAGCATGGATCCGCGCGCTACGAGCGCCCAACACTCCTGCTATTGCTGGTCCTTATACGCTTTGGGGACTGCGCTGTGCTTGTTTGTTTGAGCCTGAACTTGCATCTTCGTCGCCACGCAGCGGGAGCGAGTAGTCGCAGTGCCACAGGGTCCAGTCCCAGGCTATCTCAGCAGCATGTTTCCGTCATCACTACGGTATGCGCCATTATAGCCGTGTTCTCCTGACATAGGCGGCAACTGCCGCTGAAGACTAGCGCTGGTCCATCGAGGGGAAGTGCCACCTTCATCCGCGCCGCTCTCACCCTCGTCAGGGACGTCGGACGCGGCGGCGTGGATGTCGCGCCTCGTCGCGCTGGGGCCGGAATCTGGAAGGAGCTGTACTTCCGTGACAGGTAGCCCATCGTTCCCTACCGCGTAGCCTTTTGCTCGTAGTTGGCGCTTCTGCACGGCTGCATTATCGAGAGCGTAGTTCTCATTTGCGCTGACAGCGGCTGCGATTCGTGCGGCTCAGTGGTTGCGGAGCTTATACCGAGGCGGTGGAGGGGCGGTAGAGCTTCGAATGCAGCTAGTCGCTTGTTTTCATCGGTGTGCTCTCCCTCGGTGGAGACTTTACCAGTCACGCATCTGTCGCCCCCGCTGCTGGTGCAACGGTACCAGTTTGCCTTTCCTGCCGTGCTGCGTTGGTTTTGCGGAAGGCGGAAGTAGCTGTTTGTAATCGGCTATCATGGCGTACGCATCACTAGGCCGATCCGTGACCAGCTCTTTCCGCAGGTATTTTGTCCAGCGCGCACCGATGATGCGAGGAAGCACGGCGCGTAGAGGGAACCCACGCGCAGGCGTGATTGATTGGTCGTTGTGTTCGTAGGGGAAGAATCAGCCGTGAGTGGGGTGCATGGCTGCGCTTGGGGGGGGGGAAGGAGGAGGCATGGTGCAGCCTTTTCACTTGCGGTGGCTGCTATGACGAGGCGGGATTGCCGCATAAGTGAGCTCAAAGAACACAAAGTGGACATGCAGGCTCCGCTACCACTCCGCTGCGCCCTGGTGCACAGAGTCCTTCGAGGGAGGGAGGGAGTTCACGCGGCTGTTTTCCATCGTACGGATTTGGAAGACCGAGCGAATACAGCAGGACCTGACGGACGGATGCATCGTCCCAGACGATCGATGCGATCACGTCGTCGTCCCACTCGATACCTCCCCTCTTTTGCTTCTCGTTGAATACGACACGAGGAGTTGGCGGCGCACTTGAGCGTCGCTATGAAGCGCACTCGCTTGTATTACCGCTTCCGCTCGTTCTTCCGCTTCATTCGCACAGGCAGAAACGCAAGGCGCGGTTGAGGATGTGGCTTGACGCTGCCATTAAGTTGATGTCGTTGCAACCCTGCAATGACAGAATGGAACACAGTGATCTCCAGTGACCAGATGTCGATGGATGACTCTCGCGGTGCTCATAGCGGGTCATGATTGCGATGGTAGACTTGATCGAGGGATGCCACGGTGTCGCGAGTGACGTTGGCTAGGTCTGGTTCCTCATCGAGGGGCTGTCCAAGCATGGGATTGGAATGATGTCAACCTTTGCGGTCAAAAATGTCTCGATGAGACTATGTACGCACCTGCGATTGGTGACCGTGGAAGCCGTGCTGCTTAGCGTCCTCGACCTCGATGCGCTCGAAGGGGCTGCTAGCCCAGCGTCGGGTTTGTTGGCAGTCACTGGGGACGGTGTTCGGCCGTCTTTCGTGTTCATCGCTTCTGTGCCTGTTTATGACGACACGGCTTCGATGCAACAGAAGCAGCAAGTAATATGTCGACACTGCGGCCATCGAACACACCGTCACATTGCCAGCTTGTGTCCTCTAGGGATTCCCACCTCCACCATGGGCTATGCTATATACAGTACGCAACACATACTCCAACCACCTTCAAAGTTATGACGCACATCTGCCATATCAAGAACGTCTCGGCCGGGAGCCGCGGTATGTATCACTCGGCCGAGAGGCCACGCGATGTGAGTCTGTCGGCCGGGTTCAGATTGCAGCACGCCCCCGCACTAGGCCTGCCCCCAGACTCAACTTTGCCCGAGGGCCAAGCAAACGTGGAGTTAAGTCAGAACTTGAGTCTCGGGTTACCCTCAATATACAGACAGACATGGCAGCGAACTCCAAGCTTTTACCGTACAAGTAGGTCGGCTGTGACGGCCGCATCTCAAGTATGCTTACGAGCAGCCAGTCCGTCTCTCTACAAGGCATTCCTACCAGTTGCATGGCGCGAGCACCGTGGGGCCGTCACCGTCGAGCGGAGAGGTCGAGGGGTGCGATTATAAAAGAGCAATCTGAACTTCGCGCCTTGCCTTCTTGGTTCTTCACACTCCTCCCAGCTGGCTGCCGTCCTCTACTTGCCACGTCCAGAATCTCAAAGATAGACGGGTTCGCTTTGTAGCAGACAATTAAGAAAGGTTGCACGCATCATGGTCACCCGCATCAGCGACAGCGAATGGCACGGGGAGGACATCCCCTACGTCAAGCAGGGTAACCTTACCTCCCTCCTCTTCTCCTCTCCCTTTAGTCATCTGCCCAACACAGACCCAGACAGGTTCCCCGACTGGACCTTCGACGGGCATGAAATCCCTCCGCATTGCCTTTTTCTCGTGCATGATGGGACACATGCAAGCGTGACGCACGAGCGTGCCTATCATGATATACTCCGTGTCGCTCGCAGCTTCCACGAGCTCATCGGCAAGCAGCCGGCACCCTTTCCTGCAACCCACCGAGGAACGAAAAGAACCGCCGTGTGGTCTCCAGAGACGACGGTGCTGCTGCACATTCCAAACTGTCTGGCCTTCCCCATTCTCCTCCTCGGCGCAACGGCAGCAAAATGCACCGTGTCGCCCATCTCAACGCATCTCCAAGTACCAGAAATCGCCTACCTCCTCGCATACGCTCGACCGCATGTTATCATCACGACAAAAGGTGCAAGCGAGGGCGAAGGTAGGATTCGCGCTGCCCTGCAGAGCATCATCGACCGTCCAGAGCCCGTGGGCGAAGTTACAGCAGAAGAAGGGCAACGGTGGGCGATCGAGTTGGCTCACACGTGGGATCGCTCCGCAAAGCAGAGCACGCTTCAGCGCGGCGAGACGCTGCCATTCGCTCAGCAGCGCGTATGGCTCGTCGACCTCGCTCGCACGGTTGACTACTATGGCACCAACACCAACGCCGCCGGCATACCCGCCGCAACGCTCGACAAGCGCGACTGGACTAACCTCCTCCGCCCGATCGGGCCAACGCACAGGCTGCCGTTCCAGATCGAGGTCATGCAGCAGGATGAGCTCGAAGCGCGCGCCGCGGTCCTGCTCTGGAGTAGCGGCACGACGGGCAAGAGCAAGGGCGTCCTGCTTAGCCATCAAGCTCTCATGGCCGAAGTGTACAGCCAGTGGAGCGCAAAGCTTTCGACCGGAGTCTACAGAGGTGCCTACGGAGGTGGTGAGCGCTGGGTCGCCCTCGCGCCTTGGTGCCACATTTATGGGTGAGCGCTTGTTTCTGCGCGTGCTCCTGTATGCATGAATGGGCAATACGTGAAGGATCTTTGAGCTGACGCTTGGCCTCACACTTTTAGGCTTGCTACATTCCTTCTCTCAGCCATCGCAACCGGCGCAACTATCATCCTACCCCCTACGCCAGAGTTCCACCTCGAAACATATTGTCGCCTGCTCGAAAAGTATCGCGTTACGTTCGCTCACATCGCGCCTGGTGTCGTAGTCGCGTTGAGGAATTCTCCACTACTGGACCAGGACTCCAGCAAAAATGGACGCGCCATCGATTTTTCGAGCGTCAAGGGCTTTGGAACGGGCGGTGCACCCATCCCGTCGAGAATTTGCCTAGATGTGTGCGAGCGCTCGGGTGGAAAATATGTCCACATGGGCTACGGTAGCACCGAGACTGGTGGGGCAGCGTACACTGTGTGCCCGTCCATCCCCGCCGAGCAGCAAACCGGCTCCAGCCCCGGTTCTTCACGCCACGCTGCGCTCGCATCGATGTTCAATTGGGGCTCGACGGGTGTGCCGCTGGCCAACAAGATGATACGCATCTGCCCCGCGGAAGGCGCGACATCGGACTCGGTGCAAGCGCGCTATGAAGAGTACCGGCTCGCAGCGGACAAGGTGCGGGAGGCGGGCGGGAGGGCCCCCAGCAGCTATTGCGCACCCGGCGAGATCCAGATTAAGGGCCCTGTCTTGTTGCTCGGCTACCTCAGTGGCGTGTCCTCCTCCATCGGATCGGCCATCGATGCAAAGCTGACGCGCGGGGCGTTCACCGCGGACGGGTGGTACAAGACGGGCGATGAGGGCGTATTTGACGCGCACGGCAACCTGTGGATCACGGGCCGGATCAAGGAGCTGATAAAGACCAAGGGCGGCTTCCAGTGCTCACCGCCGGAGGTCGAGGCATGCTTTGCACAGCACCCAGCCGTCGCGGACGTCGCGTGTGTCGGCATCTACGATCCGCAGGACGCCGCCGAATTCCCGTTGCTGTACGTCGTCCCCAAAGATGTATCGCTGCTTCCGCAAGAAGGAGCTGCTGCAGAGGACGCTGAGGCGGAGGCAAAGCGGGTCGAGCTTGTGCGCGACCTTGCGCACTTCTGCGTCGACCGATTGACATTCTACAAGTGGCCCAAAGCTTACTCGTTTATTCCGGTCATCATTAAGAACCCCGGCGGGAAAATCCTGCGCAAGGACCTGCAGGCGCTTCAGACGAAGCGATACGTCGCGCCCAGGCACCGCCAACGGACATCCACCTCGTCATTAGGCACGAGCGCGAAGCTATGAACGGAAACAGGATGAGGCACAAGCAGGCTGCTGTATGTACCTCCGTGTACGCGTGAGGGGTTCTGGCGCCTTGTTTGCGGTCACTCTCCAATTCTGATAACACATAAATCCGACATTATTCGTCTGTCTCTGTCCGTCTGGTGTGTATGGCTTTAAGCGACTGCGTATGAGTAAAGCGGTGAAAGGTCAAATGCTCTCTTCGGTGTGTCATCGAAGTGGTCCTCTCTCGGCTCTCGCAATGCCGCGCGTCGTGACCTTAACGCGTTTCCTGAGCAACACAAACCCGAGCGATGCCGCTTTGATACTTCTACTTGGTGTGCCATGCACACATTCGAGCTCTGGGACTGCGCACGCCATCCGAACCCCGTAAAAGCGGCAAGTGTGCCACAAAGGCTGGCCGTCGTCTCCGATGAGGAAGATGCGGTCCATGTCGCCGGAGAGTGCCGAGCATTGGCTCAAGGGGTTCATCGCGCAGGATCAGTCCAAGGTGCTGCACAGGCTACGTCAGATCCAGCTCAACAAGGCAGCCAGCACGACAGCCGCAACACCGGAAGGCACCGGCAACTCGTCGTCTAGCACCTCTGTTCCAACTTTGGACAAGGGAAAGCGCGTTGCAGCGCAGCTTTCTTGGTCTGGCACGAGACTTGCGTGGTGCAGAGGATGCACGACCATTCGCACCTTTACATTCGAAGACCCCGTCGTCGCTGCAACCTGGGCATGGTTCCCAGGTCGCGCGACTTCGCAAGGAGCTCCTTCCCTCAACGCGTCTGACACCAAGGGCAAAGCCAAAGCCAAAGATCCGACATCGGAACTCTCGCGAGCCCTCTGCGTCCTTTTCAGACACAAGGTGCACATCCTTTTCATCAATTCTGGCGACGACTATGACGTGCCGCTCGCGTTCAGTGCAACAGGTCTGTGGGCCGCGAAGCAGGGTATCTACATTCAAAGGCAGCTGGAAACGGAAGACTACAAACTCCAGAGCGTCGAAGGCGCAGCAGCAGCCGAAGCAGCTGGGCAGGACATTCTCCCCACTGTCTTTCACCTTAATCATGCCTTGCAAGACGTCGGGGGTGTCTACCGAGCAGAAAAGATCACCTGGACCACCTCAGGCATCGCAGCGCTGCATGGCCCTGCGCGACCTTTTGCAGATCTCAGCGAGAGGATCCTCTACGTGGGTGGCGCGGAAGGCGTAGATGAGCCTCCGCTGCTGGCCACCAGATGCTGTGATGACGGCGCCGTGCGCATCTACTCCTATACACTGGACGATTCGGAACCACAGCGAGTGGCGCCCACACTTTCCCTCACTGGGAAGCAAACTATCTCGACAGCTCCAGCTCATGGCCTGTCAGAAATGGGCGGGGGAGCCCAGCCCCAACCGGCATTCGCCAGCAAGGACGAATCACAAGACTATCCAGGCGACGTCAGTGATTCGCAGCATGTAGCAGAGACTTCACTGGATGCCTCGACCCACTGGGCACGGAAGCCGCCTCGCAAGAGCGCCAGACTGGAACACGACCGCAAGGTCAAGTACTACGGTGCACTCTCAGGAGAAGACGCTCTGGATCGCAGTAGGCGGGTCAATTGGCTTCAAGGCAGCGAGCTGCGCATCACTAGTGCGCACGAAAGTGCAGGTGCCACGGACAGGTCCGGTGTGATCAACATGATGCAAGCAGAGGATCTTGCGCAACTAGCGGATGGCATGGCGCGACAGTCGCAAGGCGATACGATCATAGAGGATAGTACTCGCGGCGCTTTCACAGGACGACCCAGCCTCGGACCTAGACAGCCGTCGGGACGTCGTTCTTCACGGCCCATAGTGCCTCTTGCTGCACGCGGCGGTCGACAGTCTTCAGGTGCTTCGAGGCAGCCAAGCGTTGTACTTGGCGACCCGAATTTGTCACTCAACGTCAACCTCGATCCGCCACGATCTGCTACCGTAGCCCCATTGAAGCCTTCCTCGGATGCGCTCGACGCCGCTCGTGCGCACAGTGTGCCAGATGGCATGCACGATATGGCTAGCAGCTATGCTAACGTCGCTTTGCTCGAGCAAGTCGCGTGGGACAAGGACAATGGGTGAGAGCATCTGAAGGGCCCGCATAAAATCTGGCGAATGGTCTTTTGATACATACTGGACGCCGCAGAACATCGATCTCTGTGCGTCTGCACCAAAAAAATGCATGCCATTTTCTCACCTTGAGTTCGAGCAACCGGCAAGTGTGTAAAAAAGTCGAACTAGCCCAGGCAGCTGATGGCACCAAGGGATGGAGCTTGGCGCCTGCCAGGCCGTCCTGTGCATCACCGCATAATACGTCTCAGGAGCTGGATTGCCCTCTTACAGCCATATCTTTCGCGGCTATCGATGCTGTCATGGATAGTTCGGCCTTTCGCGGTCGGTTGCGGACGGTTCGCGAGCAACTGCGATCCGAAATCGACCATTGTGGCGACTCACTTGACTGGGCCGCATTCTGCAAAATTCTCACGAATCGAACGCTGCAGCAAACATCAAATCAGGAAGCTCTGGCGCGAGCCTTAAGCACGGCTGTCTTAAGCAGCCGTGCGGTCCTTCCTCCGCTCAGCGAATCACCTCCGATCGTTGCCGATTCCATGCAACGCAGCGAGATAGACACGCAAACCCTGAGGGTGATACTCACCTCCCTTCACGTCCTTGGGCAAGAGATGCGTTTGGACACGATTCTTCAGGCAACGCTCCTTCGATGCCTCGCCAGACTGCTCGAGCAGCTTGGCCGCGTGGTCCAGAATGCACCCCTCGTCGTGTACTGGGCTCCACTTACCAAGGAGAACAATAGTGCAGGTGAGTGCTGCGCTTCAAAGACATTGGAAATAACAATCTGAGACCGTGTGGCTTTGCTCTTCAAGTTTCGCCATGCAATTACGACCGTCTTGACTATTTGGACTTTGTACGTGCAGCTTGCGCGGCAGGAACAAGCGGCACCGACCTTTTCTTCGATTGGTGCTCGTCACTTGAACTTACGGGCGAAGCAATCGAAAAGATGCGATCTATCTGCTGGAGATGTGACCTTGCTGGGCGTGCGCTGCAGCACCTGGCTAGAGGACAACCCGCATGCGATGCCAGCTGGTTGGAACAGCTCTTCGTGCATCTGGGTCCGGATATCTTCCAGAGGCTCCCAGTTGCTCTGGCCAGGCCACTGAAGGACATTATGCGCTACAAAAATCAAAATTCGGGCGATCTGTCTGTACTCTCTGGTTTGAAGGGCGATTGCCCGCTCAGCTTTCACAAACCACGACCGATTTGGACCTCAAATCATACCCAGATCGACCTTCGATTCACCGAAAGCGACCTGAGATCGTTGCCGCAGAGTGAGAGCGTGCACCTGCCTTTGGTCTGTGCTCAGCTGTTTCCCAGTGATCTTCGCCTGCAAGAAGTAGCACGAATGCTTGACACGTCCAGGGCGCAATCCGTTCGCCTTGGCAAGCGCGATGGAATGTGAGTAACTCGCTAGCCACGCGATTGTCACACAGACTCAGCCGTAAATACTTGCAGTGAGGAGACGAAGGCTTCAGAGATGCTCAAGGTAAGGGGCGCGGTCAATCGGATCAAGGCGACAAGTGTGGGTCGGGGGATGTTCTTAATGCGCAGCAGACCCTTCTCGCCGACAACAGTCTGGAACATCCCCGGCCTGGTCGTCGAACTGCGAACAGCGGCTGGTGAGAAGCTGACTCCGAATGCTGCTGTACGAGAAGGTGCCGAGATGGAATGGCCAGACTTCCATAATGGCGTCGCCTCTGCGCTGGAGATGATCCATGACGGCCACACGTTAGACTCTCACTGGCTCTTTCATGGTCAAGGGCCTTCGCCCAACGCGACACATGCTGGTTTTCTGCTCGGCATAGGTTTGATCGGAAAGATCGCCGGGCTGGGAAGGGTGCACGCCTGGCGCTATCTCATCAACAGACACAATCTCACCAGCGTAGGTATCATCCTTGGCCTCGCGGCGACATTTGTTGGTACGCGTGATCGCGTTGCTTTTACTCTGCTCTCAATACAGCTTCCCTCGTTCCTCCCAAATGACTCGGCGGCTCTCAACATACCTTTCCAGACACAGGCAGCCGGTCTCTTGGGAGTCGGCCTGATCTTCTTGGGCAGCAATCAAAGGTCGAAAGTGGACACCCTCATTCGTGACATCGTTCCACCCGAACCCGAGAGCAGAGACATTCAAGCTGATTACCGAGAGGGCCATGCGCTTGCAGCAGGTTTTGCGGTTGGCCTCATTATGCTCGGCAGAGCTCAGCAGGACTCGATGGAAAGTCAAGCCGATCAAGACATCGTGGCAAAACTTCAGCAACTGATGGCCGGTATGGGGCTTGATCAGAATAGCACATCAATGCATCGCCTACACAACATGGGTGTTACATCGATCCCCGCGACGATAGCCCTGGCTCTCATCTTCCTGCGGAGCAATCGTCAAGACATTGCCAGTAGGATCAGCATACCTCAATCCGCCGAGACGGTGGACACGTTGCGACCCGACTTCTTACTTGTCCGGGCACTCGCCAGATCACTCATCATGTGGGATGCCGTGCAAGACTCTGCGGAGTGGATCTGTTCGCAGCTGCCTCCATACATGAGGGATCTTAAAGTGACTCAACTGAACGCGTCACCGACGGAACAGGCTGTGCAGTTGGCATACCTAAACATGCGCGCAGGCCTGTGCTTTGCTATCGGACTCAAGTATGCCGGAACGGGCCCCGGAAGCAGAGCGGCCACCGTGCTGCAGCAAGTGGTCAACTCCATGACGACCGAGGCTCGTGTTCGACGTGGGTGTCCTTTCGTATCTCCCGTCGAGCATCCAACACTGACCATCTATCCATATTCGCAGCGGTGGGATACTTTGGCAAGGTCCGCCTCCACGCACTGCAAGCTGGGCTAGACCTTGTCAGCTTAGCCGCTGCTATTGTGATGGCAGGAAGCGGAGATCTGGGTCTGCTTGCGTCTTTGCGTGCGCGTCATCACAACATGAATCTCAGCTATGGCAACCAAATGGCGACGCACATGGCCATCGGAATGCTGTTCCTCGGTGGAGGCCGCTTTACGCTAGGCTCATCGGACAAGGCCATCGCTTGCCTCTTAATTGCCTGTTTTCCTCGTTTTCCGGTCAACTCGAGCGACAATCGAGCGCACTTGCAAGCATTCCGGCACCTGTGGCTATTGGCGGTCCAGTCTCGCTTGGTGATTGCCCGTGACGTCGACACACATCGGTCTGAGTGCATAGCAATCACCACTCGCACAGAGGGAGACTCTGCTGCTACGGTCAACACCCCTTCGCTGTTGCCGCCATTGCGCACGAAGGGCGAGGTAGATTTGGCGGAAGTGTCAAAGCGACACTGGAGCGCCGATGGTGTCCAAGTTACGGCGCAAACCAGTCAAAGCGAGACAATCCTGCACGTGAAAAGCAGGTTCAACGCTTCCAGTCACACCAATTCAGATCCAGTGCGACGGTCTGTTGTGCCAGACAGTGAACGGAGGCATTTAGATGCGGCGCTGGAGATATCGTTGCTGCCATCACTTGCCGGGCAGCAGGTCGCCATGAAGCGCTATCGACCGATCAATCCTCCGAGTCGCATTCGTGCCCTGCATCACTTCTTCGGCGGGACAGAAGAGGAAGGGTGCGCGCGCGCTATGGTGCAAGGATCAATTCGTGCCGTTGCTTTTGACATCGACGCCGACAATTGCCATCTCCTCCAGGCTCAACGCGCAATCGTTCACGTGAGCGATACAAACGGCGTTGCCATCTCCACAAATTCTTTGCAACTTGAGCAGGGCAGTAGGGGGTCCTGTGTCGAAGTTGTCGACGATGCCTTGCTGTCCGAAATTGCTTCGACGCGCGTTCCTGCACCATGCAAAGACAACCTTCAGAGGGTATCTGAGCCTCTTGCCGACCGGCTACGTCAAGAGCACCTCGCTTCTGAGGACCCCAGTCAAAGCGCTATATTGGCCAAATGCGCATTGGTCGTCGCAGAGCTGGTTGCCACATCGCAGCACCATAAGGCATCGTCGTGTTTGTAATCTAATTTAGCATGTCTATCGATCTGCTTGCCTACAAATACAACGGTGATTTTGGTACAACAGTAAGGTGAATTTGGCGAGAACTTCTGGCAGATCTCAAGCAAGGTGGATGCCCTCTTCGTGGAATGCAGCCAGTAGCTTCAGAAGATCATCAATGTCCAGCTGCGCGGCTCTGGAATTGGTGTAGCCCGTGTCTCTGAGCACGTTATCGACAAGTGAGGCAAAGGACACCTTCGGATCGATTTCCTTTTCCTTTTCAGCACACCACGTCCTCCAATTCTTTTCCATCATATCGAGCACACCTCTCGCACCAAAGAAGCATGCGCGAATCTGCTTGTTGCGCCTGCTGAATACGATCCGCGCCAGGCCGTCGAACTCTTCGAAGCGAATTTGCGGCGGTGGGTTCAATGGCGTGATGCGCACGACGCTGCTTTCGACCTGCGGCGGTGGTCGGAACGAGTTGCGGCTGACTTTCATGATGTGGTCGACTTTTGCGTAGAGCTGAACGTTAGCGCTCAGTCGGCACCACAATGCGGACCCAGGGCGCGCCAGGAGGCGAAGGGCGAACTCGCGCTGGAACATCAGGATCGCGACTCGAAAGAGGGGACGATGAGAGAGCAGCTTGAAGACCAGTGGCGAGGATATCTGCAGGGGCGGCAAGGGTGACTGTCAGCATCACGCACATTCTGATCAGCTTCTAGCCGGACCACGCACTTGATATGGTGTGTTGCTGATGCAGACGTCAAAGTAAGGTAGCTCTGTCTTGCAAAAGTCTCCAATGATAACCTCTAGTTTTCGTCGTTCGGGTCTATAAAAGAAGCGTCTGTCAGAAGGGAACGCATGTTCTCGTCCCGAGCATGAAGGAGCGGCTCACTTTCCCTGCACACGCTTGTTGAGCTCGGCCGCCATGCGTGGGTCCATCTCGACGACGACGGTCTTCTTTGCCTTTTCGAGAATGCGAACTGTCAGGTTGCCCGTGCCCGGACCGACTTCCAGCACAGTTTCAGTCGACTTGAGGTTGGCCTTATCCACAATTCCTTGCGCAACGAGTGGATTCTTGAGGATGTGCTGCCCGAATCGATCAGTGTTGAAAATGGGGTTCTTGGTCGTATTGGATGAGTTGGCCATAGAGCCCGAGCCGCCACCGCTGGCAGAGCCGAGGCGAACGTCGCCGGCGGCCGGTTGGTGCACACGGCTCAGCTTGGATGATATGGCTTTCGGCATTGTGGCGAAGTCACTTGTGCCTAAGCTTACTGATAGGGATCTTCGTCAATATAGGGAAGCAAGTGTGCATTTGGATCATGGATGCCAGATGTTTGAGTTCGCTGAATCACAAGGAGAGAACACGATTCACAAAATTGAGATTCACAACTTCTCCCACACGGCGCCGTGTGGCGAAACAAAAAAAAAGATAGGGTCGCGTTCTTGTTGCGATTCGGTGCAATTTCAATTCGTGGCTGTTGTTCGTGACTGCCGCACACGCCACTCAACCCTTCCAACCTTTGTTGAATACCTATTGTAGATGCAGCTACCAGTGGGATTGTTGGGTATTCAGATGGCATTTAGTTATAAACAGATGGAGACGAGATATATGTACGTGTAGAGCGAAGCTTCAGAGCAACTCTAGATGCACTGAGCGGAAGCCCAGGACGCCGCGTGCCCGCACATCTACATGCAGCTACGCTTTACCAAGGGTGTCGGCCAATGAGAGGGGCGAAGACGACGGCGACGGGTGCGGCGACCTGTGCAACATCACCTGCCTGCGCCTGGAAACCAGGAAACTGGGTGTGAGAGGGTTTCCAAGAACTCAGTAATATCTGTATCTTGCCGCGTCTCTTCTTCTAGCCGGGTGCAGCGGTTTCCACATGTCGTTGTTTCCTTGGCAGTCCTTGCACACCCCAACTTTGCCCGTACAGAGTAGACCTTGGGACGGTCCACGATTCCCAGATGGCCATGTGTTCATTCCAACTATGGCGCAATTCTTAAAATAATGATGAAGTGGCAAAGGCGAAAATACATAATGTTGCAGCATTAGAATGAAAAGTGAATGCGGTCCATTTCGCATCAAGAGTCCATCAATGCAACTGCGAGTGAAACAATGATGAGCTCGTGTTTCTTTCTCTCCAGCATCAAATCGTCCATACGCAGCAACTTCGTCTCGCGCACATCGTCGTCGATCATGCTCTCCCCTTTGTCTCCCGTTCCGATGCGCGGTAGGATTCTGACAAAGCTGTGTGTCGCCTGGTGCACGCGACTGACCTCGCCGAGATGCGCCTCGCAATAGTCGACCGTGTCGTCATACCGGATCGCGGTGCAGGTCTGACAGCGAAAGACAAAACCAAAGCTGCTGCTGATAAAGGGACATCCGTCGACGTCGCAGGCAAGATCCTGTGGCATGCGTTCCGTTTCCTGCACGCAGCGCAAATGAAATGGTCAGTCGCCGTCCGCTGTAATGTCCAGCTTCCGATGAAGACGAGCATGAACGCACGTTGTGGAAGAGGAGCATGCCATTTGGATGATGCTGTGCGACGAGAAAATCGTTCTCTTGTGGTATCACCAATTCAAATATGCCTTGCTGCCTTCTCCAGAGCAAAGTGTGCTTAATGCCCTCGACGGATACGACAGTGCCTGTGCCCTTTCTATCAAGCGTGGCCCACGTCTTGCCCGAAGCGTCCCGGATATTCCACCGGTAGCGGTGCATCAGATGCCCTCGGCACACCCTGGCCACCACATCGGATGCATCGTTGGTGCGCTTGACGATCATCTCATTCTTTCCCACTTTGTCCGTGCCGCCGTGCTCGGCGTATTCGGCCGTGAACAAGATCGAGCCGCGCCCGAGGTCGCATGTGCAGTCTCCGCGTTCACTGCAGCGACATGCGGACGCGAGCGTCGCTGCGCTGGTCGAGTCGAGCTGCTGCGGTGTGAGCGCTTGCGCAGGTGACGGCAGGCGGAAGTACAGCGCGGTCGTAGGCTGCGACGCGTCCGCGCGGTCGAGCGAGGTGAGGTAGAAAGGCTTAGTATGCCACCGTAAGCGCAGCCCGTTCCGGAAGAGGCTGCCGTACGATGGCAGCAGAGCATGAGGATTCGCATCGGCCGGTGCGTAGCTGATTTGGTTGTACAGCGGCGACGGCCCAGCTGCGCCGTCCACCGCCGCGCTGTTGTCAGGGAGGAATGCCGCATAAGCGGGGACTGGGTCTCGGTCTTCAGGTAGGCGCGAAGGCATCTTGGTCGTCGTAGGCGAGTCGCGAGAAAGAACCACCAGACGTCAGCTGTCAAGGCAGGCTCTATGTGATGTCCAAAGATGTTCTTTGCGGGTGCTCGTCCTTGAACGGCAGATATTGAGGTTAAAACAGTGCTCTGTAGTGCACCTTGTATATGGAACTACTCTTTCTATCCTTGCACCCCATTGTCGTCCGGAGGAGCAGCAGCAGCGGTACGTGGTGCATAGTCCACTGCTCCCATACTCGTGCAGTGCTCCTGTCGGTGCGACCTGATCAAGTGGTTGAAGAGTTCCTACGTACATGCATAAAACTACAAACGCTCTTCTCATCTGCTCTCGCTCACAAATGCTGTTCGCAAGCATGCAACGCAGCACGGCAGAGCGCTCCTTGTGATTGGACACTATTCACATGTCCACTCCTATGGGGTTTTCGAAAAGGGGGTGGGGGTGATTGGGTTGGTGAACCTGGAGGGAGTTGAGAGGCGTTGTCGTATGTCCGTCTCTGTCGGGCTGCGCCGCTGGGTGTATCTACTCGGAATTCGGAATACAGTTTTAGCCAGCCTGCTGGACACTCGACTCACTGGGGCAGGCGGTGGTGGGCGGACAGCCAGGCAGCAGACGACTCTTTTTCTGATCGCTGAAGATGACTTGACTGCATGCATCCCGCACTCTTTGACTCTCTCAACAGTCAACTGCTGCTCCAGCGATCTAATCAAATCACAGACTAACGCTTTCTTTGAGTAATTCTCGTCAAATCAACCACAGCCATCATTCATTGAATTCACATTTCCCGTCCACTCGGTTTCTCTTAAACCCCCTCCATCAAAAGTCCCCGCTGGGTGGGAACCACAAACATTCTCGCGCACCCCGTATACCCTCTTCTACTGATGGCAACGCTAGGATCTATCTACTACTAGAATGGGCAAGACTTACAAACGCTCCCCCCCTAAGAAGGGAGGCGCGCGCAACGATAATCGTGAGTCTGCATGTTTGGCCCCCCCGGTCGCGTGAGAAGCAGCTGGCTGGCATGGAAAAGACCGCGAGAGATGAGAGGGAAAAAGGAACAGCACACAGCACACAGGCCACGTGCCTCACTTCCAAATCTCATCATTTCCGCCACCTTTGCTATATCACTGGTATGCGTGCCCATCGAATACAACACATAACATGGCAACGCAGGGCCATGGTCAGCCTGCCAAATGCAGTCAATGCATGGCTGGGCGTGGGATGTTGCATCTTTGCCACTTTTGCTGTCGTGTGAAGCCGTGGGGCAAAAGCAATGCAACTCGCTTTGTGGGCATGCCCCCCCCTGTGGAAATGGCCTCAGCGCGTCGTGGAAACAAAGCATCGCTGACAAAAGCCCCCACCCTGCGCCTTCCCGTGACAATCTCTCGAATCAATAATCCATTTGGACATACGCCTGGACGCGCTGCGCAACGGCTCCATGCACACAAAACCAACACACAGAACGCATGACTCGTAGCAAAAAGTCGAAACAAGTGAGCCTTCGCCGTTGCGGCTTGAGGCTCCACGCTTCACAGTGGTATTGACGGATTCACATCCCCCACGGCCTTTGAAATGGAGTAGCTAACGAATGGACTTGAAGATCCGGCCCAAGTCGAGAGGGATCTCAATGCACAACTCAAGGTCATGGGCCTTTACGCTGCTGACACGGTTGGCGATGGCAACTGCCTCTTTCGGTGAGGGAGCTGCCGAGAGTAGGAAAGGCGCTGTTCCCGTACTCACTACCGTCGCTCCAAATTGTTCACAGGGCGCTTTCAGACCAAATGTATGGCTATCCTGAGCTTCATCTCGAGATCCGACAACAAGTGGGTGTCGCTCTTTGCCGGCAGCAGGACATGTCGAGGCTCCCTTATGGCTGACGGCGCTTGAACACTTCGATGCTCAGATATGTGACTTTTTGGCTGCACGTCCTGATAGGTTTGCCGGCTTTGTAGACGGTAGCTTTGACCAGTACATCAAGAACATGAGGGAATGTGGTGAGGCGCACAGTGCTGCTCATGGCCTGGAGGCAATCTCTAAATCGAGCTTGCAACCCATTTTTGCAGGAACCTACGGTGGACACCTGGAGCTATCAGCATTTGCGCAGCTCAAACTAAAGCACATCAAAGTCGTCCAACCGGGCTTGGTATATGTCGTGTCGGGTGTGGATGAATCTTCCGAGATGGTCCGAGCACGGGAAGAGAAGGAGAACGAGCGACGCACGGCGCAGGAAGCGCTTCTACCTGGCTCAGAAGGACCACCGCCGAGCGAACGAGAAAAGCGGCGACTGCGCAGGGAAGCCAAGATGAAGAAGAGCGCGAGCACCATAAAAGATGCTACCATCATCGCCGGCAACGGCGACTCATATGGCGTCCAAACGAGCGCTGAACCTCCCAACGAAGCAGTTGCGGCAGCGGACACAAGCAGCGACGCAGGGCCGAGCACACTCGCTGCTCCACGCGCGCCTGTCGAGGCCTTCGGACCGCTGTATATTGCTTACCACAACTGGGAGCATTATAGTTCCATTCGCAACCTCGACGGGCCTCACTGCGGCTTGCCAAGGATCAAAGAGGTGAGCATACGCTCGTGCCTGACGCAAATGACATGCCATGAATTTCCACTGATGTACAAAGAATCTGTGCCCACCTGCCACAGCGGCACATTGACGGTGCGTCTCTTTCACCTGATAAAGGCAAGGGGCGCGCAAACGACAGTGAAGTCGTCTCGGACTTTGATGATGACGATGTGGCGACCGATGCCGAAGCGCTCATTCTTCAAAGCTGTCCGGGCCACTTGCTATCCGAAGTGCGTGCCTTGCTGAAGTCGCACAATAATGACTTTGACTCTGTCGTCGAGATCCTCATCGCCAAGGACGCCGAAGAGGAGCAAGAGCTGGACGAGTCGTCCCCGATGGCACTGAAGGATCGGTCCAGCACTGGCACTCCGGCCTTGGGCGGCGCGGCATCGGTTTCGGATCCAGTACCATCCCAAGACCCGCCGCCGCCGACAGGGAGAGCCGAGCAACTACGCGCCGACCATCTTCGTGATTGGCGGGCGGCTACGCCCTCGTCAGTCGATACGACCGTGACGCACAGCAGCACCGAATTCGGGTCCGTATCCACGCACGCTACGACCGACGAGTCTGGGGCTGGCACGTCCTCTGATGACTCGCGTAAGCTGCGCAGCGCGAAACGCGCCGCGTCGTCCGACGCGATGACCGCTTCATCCTTCCGTGAGAACAAACGTCGATCCAACAGTCCGCACAGTCCAAGAGCGGCGATAGCGGGAGGCGAGGAGGCGGAGGAGGGAGGTGCGGACAGGTCGTGGTTGCCAGAAGAGCGCAACATGTTCGCAGAGGTCAGCAACGACGCGTCTGCCATCGAGGGCATCCAACTGGCGTCGGCTGTGGCACAAGGCAAAGGTGCACACTCGCATGAGCAGCTCTCATCAGTGTTAGCACCGGCCCTGAGCCAAGCAGATCAGCTGAGGCGCAATGGCGTACAGACCAAGCGTGAGAAACGCGACGATGCCAGGTCACGCAAACGTGAGCGTGAGGTGGCGAAGGCACTCCAGCGCAAGGCGCAGGCGCAAGGGAAGCACAGTGCTACCGCTACGGCAACCATTGCTGGTACCGGCACTCCAGCGATCAGCAACAAGGCCGCCGTAGAGATGCGAGGTTTCCGTGAACTTCACATTTGAAGCTTATTAACTACTCGTGCTTGCAAGCTCGTCTAGTCCAAAACGACGAACACGAGTGCAAACCCTCGTCGATCATCCGCATTACCAACACATACATACATTGCATCTGTACTCTACACACCAATCTGCATAGCATGGCCCTATACGTTCTCGCTCGCTTCTAAACTGAACAAAGCTAGCGTGGAGGCTTATGGCTGGCTGTGAAAGTAGGCTGTAGATTCTTTGTGAGGATTCTGTTACGCGTTCAATGTCAGTGGTGGACACACGTGTACGGTGTGTGCGGCCACGCAACACCCTTCGGACGTCCATTTGTGATATCCGTATAATCCTTCGTGTGTACCATGCAATTTATCATACATGCGCCAATCAACAAGAACTCAGATACCCTCCTGTGGCAACGGCTTGAGTGGCGCTGCTGCAGCTGCTCCTATCTAGCCATTCCACCGCTTGCAAATCGCACCATCCAACATGGACTACGGGCCGCGATAG